TAAAAGTTACACACTGTAGCTTTAAAATCATTTTATTACTATAAACTACCTGAATTCAGTTGGCCTTGTAGTAAACTTTATAAAATTACAAAGATCTTGAGTGAAAAAAAACATGTCATATAAATAAATTGTTTATCAACCCACGCCCCACTGGCTGTGTGTTAGAACAACAAATAAAAGTGTTCATCAAGCTTAAATCATGGTCAAACTGATAATTCTGCACATATATTTAAATAAATTCACCACAACTTTATTAAAAACAGAAGAGTTTATTAACAAAAACTATTCAGCCCCAAGTTAAACATACTTCTCAACTGAACTAAACTTCTATGAACAACGAAGAAGGAAACACATGTTCGAAAATAATAATCAATAAAATAAAGCGATGATATCAGAGTTAGGAATGGATTTTATATGTGGGATCCAAGGTTTATCTTGAAGAATTCATAATGAGGTTGAATTAGCTTTTACCTAATTTAGAACAACAGATTATTATGGACATGCAGCTTTCGACAATTCCACAAAATATGCCGTTCAGAACGCTAAAAACCAGGCTATTACCACCAGCGCCTGCTGGAGCTATGGCCACAAAATGTTTTTGTCTGTGTTTACATAAACAACAGCTGGTATAAAAATATAACATTGTTCGCCAGCTTCTGCCCTCCAGACATTGAGTTTCTGACTGTTAACGGCAGACCTTTTTATCCGCCCAGAGAGTTCAGTATCACCGCTGTTTATGTGCTTCCCAGCGTTAATACAAAAGAGGCCACGAAGACTCTATACCAGGCTTTCTATGAGCTTCAATCTTCACACATAGAGGACGTTTTCATCATCAATTTTCTAAATTGAAAATTGTGCTCTTCAATGACTGGGAGTGCCATGGGATTGTTTTGAATGTACTGACTGGAACATGTTCAAAGCTGCAGCAACCTATGACAACAAAAAAAATAGATGAGTATGCCATGACTGTATCAGCCTACATCAACAGAAGCATTGAAGACGTCAGCATCACAAAGAGAATCACCACCCACATAAACCCACGAGCCAGGATGAATGCGAAGGTTCAGAGATCGCTAAAAGCACGGAACTCAGCTTTCAAGTCTGGTGACAGAGAGGCACTGAGAACAGTGCGTGCAAATTTGAACCGTGCCGTTAGATGAGCGAAGCAGAACCACAGCTGGAAGTTCCAGGATCTTTTCCACGATGACAGCAACACCAGAAGGATGTGGAAAGACATATAGGAGATGACAGACTATAGAAAGCCTCCTCAGAAGGTTTAAACATTGTTCTTGCCCCAACCATGACCAGTAGTCAAGCAGGCGGAAAAATTGTAGATCGAAAGCCTTAGCTCCATGACTATATAAAACCCTGTGGACACAAAGCGATATGTTCTTCCAGGTCACATGACCTTGCCAACCACAGCGTGTCTTCTCCCAACTTACATAGTTGGTATTTCGAGAGAGGAAACCCACTCGTAGCATTGATAAGTTCAAGCTCTGGATATTGGGTTGAGGAATCATTTAAAATAACTCATGTGTAAACTCTTTAGGTCACAAAGTCCATGGTGTGCTTTTAAACAAATTCATAATATAAGAGCCAATGAGCTTAACAAAGTCTCCTGTGGAGACTGGAGCTAGTCTAGGGTTTATTCTTTATACATCATGTGCATTGTCATTCTGTTAGCCAGATTAGACAGAGTAGAAGGCCTTCCTTCACATGGTGGAAGTAACTGTGTGTACGGAGCTCATCTAATCAGGACAGTCTTCGTGTCTTTAGAAATACACAGGATATGGGCAGATCTTGGAGCTGGTCTGAAAAAGGGGAGCTATCTGTAATTCTTGGGGATAGAGACAAGATGCAGGTTCAGGACATGGATGGCGTGTCAGTTTCTGATACGAACAGCTGAGCTTCCACCTGATGCAACACATAGACTCATGAGGTATAAGAAGCAGGAGATGACCTTGGGCTCAATCTTTTCCAGACGCTCGCTGACGTTTTTTGAGCCCACAGCTGTGCAAGCTCCAAGCATTTTCTCTGTCCTGTAACAACCTGATCTGGAATAAACTCTGTTACTTTTTTACTTCTGTTGTTTTAGTCCTTTTTTATATGGTTTTACCCAGTTTGAGTTAAGAGTAGTAAATAACTTGCTCCCAGGAAAAGAACCGTTAGGGAAGTTCTGAGGCGCAGCCGCTATCAGGGGGACATAACTTCCATATTAAAGTAGTTTTGAAACTTTGCTTAAATTTTCCTTTTCTATGTCTGCTTTGTATATTTAACCCCAGTTGGCCTCGGCAGAAGGCCTTCTTCTGCTGGAGGTTACTTCCTGCATGCAGAAACCGTTGGGCTCAAAAACCAACAACCTTCTGGCACTTTCAACCGCTACCCATGCAGCTCACACGACTAGCGTTTATTTTTTTCTGGTATTCACATTCACGAAAAAAAAATATCACTCTGAGTCATTTCTCTGTCCTCAGCTGTATAAAACTCTGCTCACTTCAGAACCAACAACACAGCAAAAATGCTTCAGGGTCACCCCCCTTAACCTGGCAAACCCAGGACCAACAGGTTTGCCTTTTTTTCCTATAAAGTAAACCACAAAAAATTTTAAATTCAGTAACTGATATATCCTTGTGTCCATGCATAATAAAACAGATATATGTCTAAAATAAGTTTTTGTGTTTATTTTCCATTGTAATAAAACTAATAAAAACCAGAAACCTTAAGTTGTGTCTGCTAATCTAAACACCTACCAGTATCCATTTTTTAATTAAGTCATCCTGCTATGTTTAATCCATAACCTATCTTTGGTCAATTATAATTTTTAAAGTGGACCTGTTACCCTTCATTTTAGAGTTTATCAGCCTATTGCTTGTTACTATGATTTGACATCAGTTTATGGCTACACTAACTTATCTTGGCAAAAGTAAAAATAGCTCACACTCGGTCATTTCCTCATTCATCTGGGTTATCTTTGTTCTTAGTAGAAAAGTAATTGAGTATTTTTTGGTCTGGAAGCCCTTTGATACCTCAATTATTAATGCTGTAAGTCTCAATTTTTTTGTGATATTATTTAAACCCCATTCTATAACATTACAAATCTAGGAAATCTTTGTTTCCTTCCGTGTTGTTTGTTGAAGTAATTAGACTTAATTCTAACCGGATTTCAACCCTGTTGCAGTCAATGTTTTTACTCGTTAAAGTTTTAATTTTTGGTTAAAGAAACACATATTATAACAATGTTTATTAAGAACAAAACATTATCTAATGTTTATCTTAAAGTTCACTTTCA